AAATGTGGGGGAAAGTTCATGCTTCTGTAAAGTCAAAAATTACCCAAATTTTCTGTGAAAATGAATTAGTCAATTATCCTTTTATATGACGCAGGATAATCATGCCACAAATATATCTCAAAATTGACATAGAAACTCATGAGTTTACTCTTTGAGCTTTACGAACTACTAGTTCCATTAATACATCATGAGCTCTAGACAGAAAAAGGATGATGTGCATTCACATATACCAAGTTTTTATTGAACAATGAAAATTGGTAGGCAAATTGCAATTAAAAATTTTTAAAAAGCAAAAATACGCAAAGCAGAAACAATAATGTTGTAGTAACACACTTGATAGTAATATGTACTTTAAGAATAACATTTCTATTTTTTGTGATTATGTAAGACATCCTCAATGTAGGGAATTTGGAAAATACATAGAAGAATTGAAAAAATTTCTTGTGACACTACCATCTGAAGACAGTTGTTACCTTTGACATATTTTTTTCCATGTATATGTAAATATGTATGTATGTGTACATACATATTGTAATTAAAATTATGGTATATATACAATTTTGCATCTACTTTTTCACTTACAATAATCTCATGAACATTTTTCTGCATCAGTAAATACTCTGTAAGCAAAAATTTGATTAAAGCATTTATATGCATAATAGTTCATTAGACATTTAAGATGTTTTCAGTTTGTAATCATTACAAATAATAATATAACAATAGCTTTGTACATAAATCTGAATTTTTGGTAATTTCCTCAGTAAAGATGCCTAAAAGGGGATTGCTGGTCCAAAGACTATGAATTCCTTTGAAGTTATTAAGGTGTTTTACTTTGCTTAAGTACTACACTAAATTCTGCTCAGTATATATGTACCCATATCAGTGGGTGACATTAAATAGAAGTGAGAGATTAAAAAAAAAAAAGCGAGAGGCAATATTGCACAATGAAGAAACTACTCCTTCAAAGGTGAACAGAGCAGTATGTGTATCTGGGCTTTAATACCCACCGTTTGGGTGACCTTAGGTATATCATTTCACTTCATATTTATCTCACAGAGAAAAGGAAAGAAATACACAGTTGCCTTATGGGATTGATTGGGATCATTTAATGCAAAGGATGAATTCCACAATTTGTTACAGAGTAGACATGAAATAAATGTTGAAAGTAGTATATGGTTTTGTTATGCATTTCTTTGCATAATAGTGAAATTGAATATTTTATAAGTGTTTATTGACCATTTGTGTTTCTTCTGTGGATATTTTTCATGTTCCTTGTACTTTCCTCAACTAGATTTTTGATGGAGAGTAGGATTCTACTTTATTAAATGATGCTTTTAATCTTTGTCTTATTTTTTATAAATGTTTTCCTAGTTCTTTACCTTTTTTAAATTAACAAACTTTATTTTTTAGGGCACTTTTAGGTGAACAACAAAACTGAGCAGAAAGTACAGAGAGTTACCATATATTCCCTGTCCCTGTTCCCACCAACTTTCCCCACTATTGACATCTATATTTTTGTTTTCTTATGAATTTTTTTCAAAATCAAAATTACTTTTTTTTAAGATACAACACATGTCCATTATAAAAATTTAACAAGTATGGATAAGAATGAATAAAGAAAACAGAAAACATTCCTGATTCTGCTACGCCAAAATAATCAATATTACCATTTGGTGTACAAGTGAAAATATTTTTTAAATTATAAAATGAAACTACATCATACATGCTGATTTTTAACCTTTTCCCTTTTTTACCAATGTCATGATTTTAGCTCTGTAAATAACACTAATAATAATAACACTAATAGCCATGTTATCAGAATAATATCTTGATATTCTAGCATATAAGTAATGTAACGAGTCTCCTGTTGATAGACTTCTGGGTTATGTTTCCAGATATTGGGCTGCAGAGCAAAGTTGTTTCTAGAAAAGTGTTACAATGAATATTCTTACACAAACATAGATCTTTTAACATATAAATTTTATGTGTAAATTTATATTTTTATATTGTAAAATGTATTTTTTTCTTTAAAAAAAGTGCCTTTTTCCTTGGGAAGTACCTGAGAATAGATAAATATTCTGCATTTTTTTCTTACCTGATTTAAGGATATTTTTTCATCTTTTGGAATTTATTCTAGTTCATGGTATGATAGGAAATACTAATCTTGGAAGAAGTACTAAATTAACAACTACTATAACTTCCTTTATATTCTTTTATATTATGTGATTTTGAAAGGAGAAACATAAGTCATTACCAATTCATTTTAGACTATTTCAAATATGGATAAATTCTTATTTGAAGAAGGAAGTGGAGATTGAGCACTTGCTCTGAGGTTGAAAATGAAATAATCCATACTCTTATGTATAATCTTGTAAGAATGACAAGACATACAACACAATTTAAAATGATTAATTATAAGTTAATGTATGCATAAAGGCTAGAGGTGGTTTCAATAAAAAGGGGCCAACATAATGAAAACTGCAAGATAATAATTGGGACAAACTTTCCTTGGGATGACACTTGAACCGAGATGAGAACAAAAATGGAAATGAGGGAAACTAAAAGCCAGACATTGCTTCGTGCATGTGAGCAATGGGATGGACACTTTGTAAGAGAAGGCTTCCCTTATCACATCCAAATCCTTTCCTGATCGGGAAGAGAAGGCCATCTTGCCTGACGGAAGATTTCTTTCTTTGAAGGAAAGAATTAATTAATTTTACATCAAGATTCTTCAGGAAACACACCCATTATGAAGCTGGAAACCACTCATAATTTATAAGAGTTTTAAACTTCCAATTCAACTGATAATATAGCAGGGCATGAGGAAACAGTGGCAGTGGGCAATAATTTAATCAAACCAGGACAGGCATACAATTTTTCTTGGACAGACATATTTTGGATCTTCAGATTTTGAGACTTAGGACTGTCATCTAAGACAGTAAAGACAGCATACTTCTTCAGGGACATCAGCCATCACCAAAAGAGATATCTTTGATTCCCAAATGAAATATGTAAAGACAGAGAGGAGAGTGGGGAAATAGAATCTGACTTAGCATAATGGAGAAAGTTGAATCTTAAGTGTCTACAGAGGAGGATATGTATATGTAAATCAAGCTGATCTGCTCTCAGAATTCCATAAAAAAACTTGGAAGGTTGGAGTAGATCATAGGACTAAAACCAAAACTGATGATTCTCCTTATGGCTAGGTAACTGTCCCTCCTCCACACAAAATACCAGGGACTTCTGAAGAGATTAAACCAGAGATCTCTGGTTAAAAGGGAGCATTGAAGCTAGAATAAAGGGATTAAGAGAAAACCTGTAGTCTGAAAGGTAAATTCTTTACCCTTCTACTTCCATCCAGCTCCTAGACCCCTGACAGTCAGGGTTACAAAACAGCAGGAAACTAGAAGATCCTTCTCTAGAGGAACAGAAAATCCATAGATAAAAGAATGACAGCACTTTGGGAGGCCAAGGTGAGAGAATTTCCTGATCTCAGGGTTTCAAGACCATCCTGGGCAACTTGGTGAGACCTTGTCTCTACACTAAATCAAAAAATAAGCCGGGTGTAGCGTGGACCTGTAGTTCCAGCTACTTAGAAGGCTGAGGCAGAAGGATCATCTGAGCCCAGTCTCACTCCATCGCCCAGGCTGGAGTGCAGTGGCGTGCTCACAGCCACCCCAGCATCAACCTGCTGGGTTCCTGGCTTCCAGCAATCCTTCCACCTCAGCCTTTCAAGTAGCCAGAACTACAGGTGTGCGCTACCACGCGTGGCTAATTTTTTTTTTTTTTTTAACTGTAGAGAGGCGGTCTCGCCAAATAGCCCGGGCTGGTCCCAAATCCACAGGCTCAGGCAGTCCACTTGCCTCGGCCTCCCAAAATGCTGGGATTACATGTTGAGCCTCTGAATCCGACCAGAAATTTCTTAATTGATGCAACAAGAGATAGTGGTATGAACGTACTGAAAAATATAGATAAATTACCAGAAGAAATAGCTTTGCAAAATTTAAAAGTATTTGTCACTGCTTCATGAATTGGAGGTTGGGTCAGGAGACTGCTGGTTTTCATTATTATGCTTTTAAAATTTGTATTAATCAAGGTTTTTCAGAGAAACAGAATAAGTAGTTATCTATTGACATATAGTCTATTGATCTGTGTATCTATATATCTAGGTATAAGCCTAGATACACATAGAGATAGATAAACATAGAAATATATATTTTAAGGAATTGGCTGCTGCAATTTTGGAGGCTTGGTAAGTCCAAAATCTTCAGGGTAGGCAAGCAGGCTGGAAACCTGGGGAATAGTTGCAGTTCAAGTCTAAAGGAAATCTGGAGGCAGAAGCCCTTTTTGCTCAGGAGACGCCAGTCTTTGTTTTATTCAGGCCTTCAACCATTGGGTGATACCTACCCATATGGAGGCCCACCCAAATCTCCTTACTCAAAGTCCACCAAATTAAATGTTAATCTCATCTAAAAACATCTTCACAGAAACATTCTGAATAATGACTTGCTAAATATCTAGGCACCTTTCCCATCCGTGTTGACTCATAAAATTAACTATCACAGAATTATTTGATTTGAACCATGTGCCATTACATTGCCTATGATAATTAAAATATACTCTTTGGTATAGAAATTAGGTATGGGGTTGCTTCTTTAACAGCATGATGGTTGGCCTATAATAAGCACTCGGTAAATACTTGTTAAGTGGATGATAGTCTTTTAAAAGAGATTTGATCATTATCATTCTTGTCTTGTTCCTTAGAGAAGCCATTTCTATTAAAGTCGTTATTTATCTATCTAATACTTGAGTCTCTACAATGTATATATATCCTTCTGCTAGACATTTTGCAATTTCTGAAATATCTTATTTTACATGAAATAATTTTTATTACATCATTATGTTCAAGTATGGAGTTTAAGATAAAGTTAAGGTTATAAAAAATGCCCTAGTAATAAGAATCTTTAGCTTCTATTATTTATGTGTTTTCACCTTTCTAGATCTGAAATAGCTCAGCTCAGTCAAGAAAAAAGGTACACCTATGACAAACTGGAAAAGTTACAGAGAAGAAATGATGAGTTAGAGGAACAATGTATCCAGCATGGGAGAGTGCATGAGATAATGAAGCAAAGGTAATAAAGTTTAATAATCAATTAATATGCCATATATTGAATGTGTTTCATTTACAACAGAAGGAGAATTGCTGTGGAACGCATAGAGTTCATTATCATTATGCTACTCAAGGGACATGCTAAAAACCTAATACTTTTATTTCAGGTATTTATGCTTCCTTTTTTCTTTTTCTTTTTTTTGAATTGAAATCTCACTCTGTCACCCAGGCTGGAGTGTAGTGTCACATTCATGGCCACCCCAGTGTCGACCTGCTGGGCTCTGGCGATCCTTCCACCTCAGCCTTCCAGGTAGCCAGAACTACAGGCACGTGCTACCACGCCTGGCTAATTTTTTATTTTTTATTATAGAGACGAGGTCTCGCCAAATTGCCTGGGCTGGTCTCAAACCCATGAGCTCAGGCAATCCACTCGCCTGGGCCTCACAAAGTGCTGGGATTATAGGCTGAACCACCGAGCCCGGCCTTAATGCTACTTGGAAGGCTGAGGCGGAAGGATCGCCTGAGCCCAGCAGGTCGACCCTGGGATGGCTGTGAGCATGCCACTGCACTCCAACCTGGGCGATAGAGTGAGATTCTGACTCAAAAAAAAAAAAAATCTCCATTGGCCTATAGAGGATATTTGAAACATTGGAAGTAAATGAAGTCACTAGAGGAAAAAAAGACTAAGAACGAAGGAGAGCTTACTGAATCCTAAAGAATGCCAACATTTTTAAAGGAAAAAGTAGAGGTTCGCAATGAGGAGACAAAGCAACCCGAGAAATGAGCAGACACTGAAGAGCCTGATATTTCACATGCGGAAGGATGGAAACGCTTCAGGAAACAGGAGGCGATCAACCAGATGCCGCCAGATGATTAAATAAGACTGGAAATGTCCGTTGAACTTAGTGACATGGATGTCACTGCTTACCTTAACAAAAACAGTTTTAGTTGAAGAGGGGGTGCAGAACCCAAATTGGAATGGGTTGAAAAATTGGAGTGAGTTGAAAATCAGAAATAGCACATTTAAACCACGTGTTCATGAGGTTTGGCTACCAGGGAAAGTAGGAAACAAGAGACATTCTTGTGGTGGGGAAAGTATCCGGAGGGGCATTTTGGAGCAGGGCATTTCTTGTTTTAAGTTACAGTAGATGTGAATGCATTAAATTCTGATTATAAAGATCATTAAAGTTGTAAAGATCAAGAAAGATAAATTTTCAGATGGTAGTTTAGACACTCTGGTGTCCACAAAGGCAGTCTAGGGACTTTGCGTTAAAGATGGCAATGCTGTTTTTTTCTAGTTTTATTTTATTTTTATTTTTTTATTTCATTTTTTATTTTTTTGAGTCAGAGTCTCTCTCTATCACCCAGGATGGAGTGCGGTGGCATGCTCATGACGACTGCAGCTTTGACCTTCTAGGCTTTGGCGAACTTTCTGCCTCAGTCTTCGAAGTAGCTGGAACTATAGGTATGAGCCACCACGCCCAGCCAATTTTTTGATTTATTGTAGAGATGAGGTCTCACCAAATTGCCCAGGCTGGTCTTGAACTCCTGGCTCAGGCAATCCTCTCACCTCAACCTCCCAAAGTGCTGGAATTACAGTCTTGAGCCACTGCTCCCAGCCTATTTTTATTTTAAGATAAGTATCAACCACGTGAAAGTCTCTCTATATATACAGAGTGAACAAGTCCCAGAGGTGGTAGCATGCATGTTCTCTTATCTGGTCATATACTATGTCACCACTCCCAGCAGTCCTGGATGTTTTGTCAGTTATACAGTTTCACATAGTTTTTTCCTTTTGTAGAGTAATGTATTGTTTAAATTGCATACATAAAAGCCATTGTCCAAAGACATGAAATTTCTGATTGAAATGTAACAAACTAGTAATGAATTCTACATGGGTAATTCTATAAACTGACTCAGGGTGATCTTTACCAAATTCTTAAGTTCTATTATTATAATAGAAATTTTATTCTTCCAAAGCAAATGTTAAGAATAGGAAATATAGCACTGATTTTTAATCTAATTTTATCTAATTGTTATCTAATTGAATTTATCTAATTTGACATAATTTGGGGAGATTAAGACTATTTACTATTTTCAGAGAAGTGCTTTAAAACAGAACCCTGAAATCTTAACCTTTATCTCATCATTTAAAAACAAAAAGACTGTAATCCCAGCATTTTGGGGGGCCGAGGTGACAGGATTGCCTGAGTCTGCGGGTTTGAGACCAGCCTGGGCAACATGGTGAGCCCTCGTCTCTACAATAAATCAAAAACTTAGCCAGGCATGGTGGCACGTGCCTGTAGTTCCAGCTACTTGGATGGCTGAGGCAAAAGTTTTGCCCACCAGGTCGATGCTGGGGTGGCCGTGAGCATGCCATGGCACTCCAGCCTGGGCATCAGAATGAGACTCCAACTAAACCCCCCCCCAAAAAAAAGAGAGAAAGCCATAAGAGTAGCAGTTAAATTTTACATTCAAAAAACAAACATCCCCTAAAAATCATTAATCTGTTTTTATTAGTTATTGATTCTATAACCTGAATTTAATTTTACATCTACATTTTAGAGTATATTTTGTTGCTAAGACATGTTATTGACCAATTGTGCCTTTTCTTGCATAATTAATTATTAAGGATTTAATTCATGTAAATGAAATAGTGGCATTTATTACATAGGAAAATTATTTCTAAAATAAATTTTATGGTCATGCAATAACAATGAAATGACTTCATAAATTCTAAGAGGAGTCATAAAAATATGTTCCTGTGAAGGGAATTTGAGAGTCAAAAGAAGTCTGGAGATGATATAGACAGCGAGGTGAAGTTATAAGGTTTCTGAGAAGAGAAGTTGATTGGGACACCAAGCATTGGGCAGAGAATGGTGTTGAGCTGGGAAGGGTCATCTCCTACATTGTTGCTGCTGTGGCAAAAGAATGATAAATGCAGTTTTATGGATGTGGTGCTAGGAGGGTGAACTGAGGCAAGACTTAGTCTATTCTGGTCTTTATTACATTGTTATTATATAGAGATGTGGGGTACAAGTGAGTGTTAACTACATAAGTAAGCTTCACACAGGTGAGGTTTCGGCTTCTAACTGGCCCTCACTCCCCCGGTAGTGGACCAGGTACGCTTTGTGTTGTCATGTGCCTCCCCACCCATCCCTCACCCAGCAGTGCCTAGGGACTGCCAATCCCTCCCTTGTGCTAGTGTGACTGGTGGTCGGGGTCCACTTATGAGTGAGAACATGGCAGTATTTAGTTCTTCATTTGTTTGATAGTTCACTTAGTATGATGGTCTTCAACTCTGTCCAATTTGCTGTGAAGTCCATGATTTTGTTTTTCTTTATGGTTACGTAATACTCCATTATGTATATGTACCACATTTTCTTTATCCAGTCCACTTTCAGTGGACAGTAGGGTTGGTTCCGTGTTTTTGTTATTGTGAATAGTGTGGCAATAAACATTCATGTACTGGCATCTTTTTTGTAGAGCAATTTATGTTCCTCCAGGTATATTCCCAGGAGAAGGATTGCTGGATCATATGGAAGATCAATGTTTAGTTCTTTTAGGAATTGCCAAACTGTTTTCCATAGAGGTTGAACTAGCTTAAGATATAGAAATCAACTCAAAATGGATCAAAGACCTAAACACAAAACCTCAAAGTATAAGAATCCTAGAAGAAAACATAGGATACACCCTTATGCACATCAGAGTAAATGATGAATTCTTGATCAAGTTCCCAAAAGTGAATACCATAAAAGCTAAGATAAGCAAGTGGGACTCATCAAATTGAAAGCTTTTGCAGAGCAAAAGAAACCATCAAAAGGGTAGGGAGACAACCTGCAGAATGGGAAAAAAATATTTTTAAGTTGTGCATCTGACAAAGACCTAACATCCAGGATCTACAAGGAACTCAATGAAGGGAAAGGAAAAAACCAAACAACCCCATTAAAAACTGGGTAAAGGACATGGACAGACACTTCTTAAATGATGACATACAGGCAGACAACAGACACAAGAATAAATACTCAGTTTCACTGATCATCAGAGAAAGTTTATTCTGTTTTTTGTTTGTTTTTGTTTAAGTCAGAGTCTCACTCTGTCACTCAGGCTGGAGTGCAGTGGCGCACTCACAGACACTGCAGCCTCGACCTGCTGGGCTCAGGCGAGCCTTCTGCCTCAGCCTTCCAAGTAGCTGGAACTACAGGTGCGCACTACCTTGCCTGGCTTATTTTTTTGATTTATTTTAGAGACGAGGTCTCACCAAGTTGCCCAGGCTCATCTCGAACCCTAAGCTCAGGCAATCCTCTCATCTCATCCTTTCAAAGTGCTGGGATTACGAGCTTGAGCCATCATGCCCAGCCTTATTCAGTTTTAATTGGACATCTATTTTGTACCAGTCACTGTGCTAGGCTAGGTGATACAAAGATGTAAAGAATCTACTCTACCCCACTCCCATGGTTCCAGAATTCCTCTTTATTGGGGCTAATCGAAATTTTGTGATTAGCCTCCAGTGCAGAGTTGCCATGACACCACCTGCTGTCTCCTGGGAGGTCACTCTGGGTTGCTGCGGTGCCTCCAGAAACCCAGAGACAAGGAGAAAGGATGCCATGGGGGACCAGCCTCTCAGCAGGCGTGGGCAAGAATCGGTTGCCCTTAAAGTTTGTTTGTTTGCTCTCCTTTCTGTTTTATATAAACCAAATGTCTGTTGTTGATATTAGATTTGGGGTGTAAGGTCAAAAACTTCACTGTCTCTGAGGAAATTTCTTGAGTTAATCACTCCTTGTTTAGAAGAGTGATCAAAGTGTAGACCCAAGCTCTCTGGACAGGTATAACCAGAAGACTGACCCAACATGATAGGTCTTTTCATCAATTATTATGGGCAGTTTTAAAACACATTTAGTGAAAGTTTTTTAAAGTACTGAAATTTGGTTCGTATAAGTCAAAACAACCTACTGAGAATGCTAATGTAATATTCCACTGACTGCCCCCACACTTGGTAGGGCTTGTGCCCTGTAGCAAAAT